TACTCTACTCTACTCTACTCTACTCTACTCTACTCTACTCTACTCTATTCTACTCTATTCTGTTCCTATCATCTTTTCCCCAATCTCATCTCCTTTTTCATCCCCAAATCTCAAAAACCATCCATTCATATTTTTCTTCTTTCAGTAAAAAAACATATAGGTAGTCCTTAACTTTCAACAGTTCATTTAGTGACCATTCAAAATTACAACGCTGACAAAATTTATGACCGTTTGTCATACTTAGAACCATTGCCATATCCCCCGTGGCTACGAGATCAACATTCAGATGCTTGTCAACTGACTCATAGTTATGACGGATGCAGTGTCCCAGGATCACGTGATCATCTTTTGATCTCCTTCTGATCATCTTCGGGTCACCTTCTGATAAGGAAAAGCACCAGGGAAGCCAGATTCACTTAACAACCACGTTGCTAAGGGAACAACTGCAGTGCTTCACTTCACAACAGTGGCAAGAAAGGTCATAAAATGGGGCAACCCATCTCGCTTAGTCACAGAAATTTGGGGCCCAACTGTAGTCATAAGCCGAGGCTTCCCTGTAAAAAGATTCCAGTCTTTTTTTAAAAAAAGTCTTTATCATTTTTTTTCTCTCTCTGACCAAACTAATCGGCTTTGCCATGTTTGCAGGTTCAGTTTAACAGTACAGAGTTGGAAGGGACCTTGTAGGTCATCTAGTCTAAGCCCCCACCCAAGCAGAAGACCCTACGCCATTTCTGATAGATGGCAGTCCAGTCTCTTCTTCACAGCCTCCAGGGATGTTTTATAATCCAGTTTTATAATCCTGTGATGATCCAGGGCATGGCACAAAGGCAACACAGTCAGATAATCAATAAGAGTCCCTTTATTATTTCCAACTTTGCCCCCAATGTCCAGGTTACCCTCGGCTGGAGAAAAACTCTCCCAGGAACAGCCTTTGACTGCAGAAAATTCAGTCCAAAACAGGGTAAACACAAACTGTAACTTTTAAGTCCAAACAAACCAAACTGAAGTAATTAGTTTGGCAGGGCAGGAACAAGAATTTCAGACTTGAAGGCATGACAAAACTCACAGGGTTGGGAAGACCCCAGGAACACAGATAAGCCACGATATTACAAGATAAAGTAATGTTTGCCCCAAACAGCCTTCCACACGCAGCCTGCCTTTTTTATACACTGTGTTCCCAGCTGCAGCTAATGAAGGGAATCAGGGCCCTTTCCTCCCCCGTAAGCCACACAACCCGCATTGCTCTCTTCTCTGTTCCTCCCTGCATGCCCTCGGATGAAGAGGGGGTGGGCCTGGGTCTTTCTCTGAATTCCTTCTCCCTTGTTCTACCTCTTCCCTGCTCTGCCCAACCAGACTTTGCCCTTGCCCAGTTTCCTCCACAGCCAATGGAGCCACACTCCCACTCCCTGACAGCTGTTCGGCTTCTTCCTCAGATTCAGACTCTGGCAGGGGCATGACAAATCCTGTTTTCCACGGTAGGTCTAGGACATGACCAGGCTGAGCCTGAGGGAGGGGTGAAAGGCGTCATCAGTCTCGAATCCATTTGTGCTCACAAGAGTCCAGCCCACCTTGACTTCCATTGACTCTTATCTACCACCAATTTGCGTGGACCGTTAGTAGTTCAGATTCTTGTAGAGAAGCTTGCAATACATCTTTGTATACCCCTTTGAACTGGCTGGAATTTCTGATTTCCCCGGTGCTTGACAGTAGACATTTCATTGCCTTTCCAACTTTCTGCAGATAATCATCTTGCGACATCAGAAGCAAGAAATCCTTGATGTGCTACAGAATAGTCCAAATATCAGCGTGGCATGCACAGACAGAGAGGCTGCCAATCAGTTTCCTTGGCTCGTCCCCAGTTTCCTTGCATTCATTTATTTTTTGTCATTTCTGATTTGCACCCAAAACATATATCTTGTTCTCAGAATGGCTAATTCTGATCTTAATTAAAAACAACCAAACGTAGGGCCCCCGCAGCCATATACAACAGGCAATGAATGTTAAAACAGGGGCTTCTTAAAGCGATATTAGGAAAGGATACATGGGAGGACTCAATTCCTTGCATTTTCTCACATTTCTTCATAGAATCAAAATATGTATTTGCTGCCACTTCCACAGAATTGAAGAAACCGCCTCCTAACTTAATAAAAAAAAAAAACAGTCCCATTGATGGACCAAATGTGCAGCATGTGTCATCCAGAAATAAATATTTCTGTAAGAACTTTAATCCAACAAATGACCGGGCTGGAAGGGACCTTGGAGGACTTCTAGTCCAACCCCTTGCCCAAGACAGGACTCCTAAGGAATTTTCAAACTTGGCTGATGGTGTGATGGAAGCTCCTGTTTTTCATAC